AGAAGAAGAAGAAGAAGAAGAAGAAGAAGAAGAAGAAGAAGAAGAAGTAGTCCCAGTTAAAATGTAAATTGTCATTTCACCCCTATATATTATTCCTAGTTCTTCTTATTTGGGCTTACTAAACCAATCCAGAGTAAGAGAGAAAACTCTTTCTCCAAAAGATAAAAAAATAAAAAATGGAGCATTGTAGGATTCAGATCTCTAAGATCAAGTCTTTTCCAAGGTAGGCATTCCCTATGGGGAACTATTTAGTTGTGACAGGTTTTCTTTTAACATGCACATTTTTGACAGAGCCAAAAAATGAGGTGGGTTTATTTTCTTTCTTCCCAATCTACCTTTGTAAATAAAAGCATGTAATGTAATATACAAAAAACAATTTTGTGGTAACATGTTATTCCAATTAGAATCAGAGTACAATACTTTTTATACTCTCCTGAGGTTTGGATTAACAAGCAGCACAAGAAAGAAACATTATTTCTTCCCTTAAAGCATAAAACTTTGATTTGACTTTTGGACTCAACCTCATTGCCTTTTGGATAGCAATGGTTCCCAGTGTTTCACTTATAGAAAATTGTTATTAATTCTTACGGTCTTTGAAGCCAAATCTTTAAAACATTCTCAATGGTTGACAAACAGGCCCTGCCGATTTGTGAAGTTTAAAGATTGTTACTGCCTAATTAGAAGGATTTTATGGCTATTGTTCATGCAAGGATCAGTATCCATGTCCCTTTCTTCCTTGTTCCCAACACAAATCGCATAGCATCATTTTAAAGGACACGGACAGTATTTCAATTAGATTTAGCAACCTACAAATCAGACACCATGTAATTTTTTTGGTAATGCCCAGATGCCTTTTGCCCCCCAACCAAGATTAGTGCAAATTGATGGGCCCAGAAGGACTAGATGCAACGAAGTACACCTTTTATTTAAAAAAAAAAAAAAGCACGGCTACTGCTCCGGCCCTTATTCCATGTATGTATGTATGTATGTATGTATGTATGTATGTATGTATGTATGTATAGAGAGAAGATCACTCATAGAGCAAATTACAGTTTATTTTCAAGTCATTGAACTCTACTGTCTTCCTCCTTCTCCTGATCAAAGAAGCGCCTAACCGCCTTGAGGAATCCCAGCCGCTTGCACTACAATATGGCTATTATGGGTCTGATATTTGGGGGGGGGAGTGCTAATGGGCAATCTGGTGTTTATTTTGAAACTGCTAACAATGATTTTTCTTGGGTAAAAAAGGCAAGTGTGTCTGGGCACACGGTTGAATGGGTTTTGAGCAGAGGCTCTAACAGATGGTGCAGAGCTATAGGTGCTCACTCTCTCTCTCTCTCTCTCTCACACACACACACACATACACACACTCTCTCTCTCTCACACACACACACACACAGAGCGCCTTCCTCCTCCCTCCCTTTCTCCAGACTTCGGGAACCGTTGTGGAGCCTGACCGGCCTGGGAGCAGCAGGCGCTGCATAACGTGGTTGGTAAAGAAGCTTTTCGCCCTCCAGCCGACGCCGCTCCTGCCCTTCCCCCGCCCCAGCCCAGCCTCCCCCGGAGAAAGCGAGAGCCCGGACAGCCGCCTCCCCGCGAGAGGTTTCCTGAGCGCGCTATCTCAGAGACACGGAGCAGCGGCGGCCCTGCAATCTCTGCCCGGCTTTTCCTCCGGAACGCCACGGCTGTGTATCAACACAAGTCGTTGCACGAGGATTTCTTTCTTTCTTTCTTTCTTTCTTTCTTTCTTTCTTTCTTTCTTTCTTTCTTTCTTTCTTTCTTTCTTTCTTTCTCTTTCTTTCTTTCTTTCTTTCTTTCTTTCTTTCTTTTCTTTCCTTTCTTCTTCTTCTTCTTCTTCTTCTTCTTCTTCTTCTTCTTCTTCTTCTTCCTCCTCCTCCTCCTCCTCCTCCTCCTCCTCTTCTTTTCTCTTTCCCCCTTCGCCTTCTCCTTCTGGTGCTTCGCCTCCTTTGCTTGGCCCTCTCTCCCGGCTTTCTTGCTTTCTCTTTCTCGCAGCCTAGGCCTCAGCGGTCTGTGCTCAGTGAGGCCACCGGCTTCCCATTGCTAACCAGCTCAGTTGCCTTCGTTGCAATCGGCGCCGTGCACTGTGTGCAGAACAAGCAGAGGACGGGAGGGGAGGGGAAGACACGAAGCACCTCCATCTCCATTCTTCTCGACGCTTTCGGGAGCAGAGTTTCTCCCTTACCTAGTCGGTGTTTAAGCCACTTTGCTGCTCGCTATGCCGGGAAAGCGGCGTCCTGCCAAAGAAAACCCCCGAGTGTCTTCGCCATGGAATCGGGGAGCGGGCCTAGTTTTCCGAAGATTTCCCCGATAAAAGCTGGACTTGTCTGGAAAGCTTGAAGTAGCGTCGGACCCCTCAGATACAACCAGCAGTGGGAGTTGTTGTAGCTGCTCATTTTTGTTGCTGCTGCAGGAAGCCACTCCACTATGGGTGATAGTTACTTTGCCTGGGATGAATCCGCGTATTTAGATGTGATTTATTTTTTATTTTGTAGCACCAAGAGAAATCCATAAACTGTCGGTTCAGCGCCATTGACTCTTTGATCAGTTACTGGGCTATTTCCCCTCCCTCTCTCCTCCGTCAGCGAAGAGAGATTAAAAGCTTGTATTTTCAGCAGTGGAACTCCTGAAAAAGTCCGCAACTTCCATTGCTAATAAAAACGTGCTTTAAAATGGTCTTTTCTCTCTCATTCTCTCTCTCACTCTCTCTTACTCTCTCTCTCCTTCATTCCAGAGCAGTGAAACCTACAGAGCTGCCCATAGTATTCTCTTAATTAGCCTACAGCGATTTCCGAAAACATTTAGCTGGTATTTACAAAGGAAATAAGAGGACATTGTCAACTCTGGAGAGAGCTCCAGAGTTTAAAAGGGTGCTTCTTTGTAACCTATTGAAAAAATTATTAGAGGGCACAATGCTTCCGCTTTTGTCAAGGGACTGGCGTTTGCCTGTCAGGTCGGGTTTTCTCCAAAAGAATACCACTCATTTACTGCTGGGGGCATTTAAATCTAACCCTATTTTTGTCAAGAACACCTAAAACTTTCTGCTTTCAAAATCAGAGTGGAGGGGAGGGCGCTTCAAAGCTTTAACTAACTGAAATGGGGTCTTAAATGTGTCATTAAGGAAAACAGTCTTTTGTCCTTAACGTTTCAATTTTTATTTTTCCAAGTGATGGCAGAGAAAATACACTCCTCTTTCTGCTCTTTCATAAAGGATAATAA